TTATTCCCCACGATCCAGAGGTCTGGTTCGCGACACTGGAGACTCAGTTCGAGATCCGTCGCATAACGAACCAGCGGCTCATGTTTGCCTATGCCCTGGAATCCTTACCTGGGGACCATATAGCGGCTGTCCGTGAGGTCGTCCTCAACCCCAATGCTCCAGATGCCTACAATCGTCTCAAGGAGGCGATTCTCCAGCATTTCCTCCCATCGAAGGAGGAACGCTTGAGGACTCTTTTAGCACGTCACCCTATGGGTGATGCTAAACCGAGCCACCACCTCACGCGCCTGCAGTCACTAGCAGGACCGACAGCGGCTAACTCAGATATAGTCAAGGAGCTGTGGCTCGACTCATTACCAGCCTATGTTCAGCCTACGATCGCCGCCCTGCCCGAAGATATGCCGCTAAGCCAAGTTGCACTAGTGGCAGACAGAGTGATTACACGAACCGGCCATCGAGACAACTATACCGTTGCGTCCACGTCACATACCGGCGTGGGCCTCGAGGCCAAACAGGGTAAAGCTCATAAGGATCAGGGTTGCTGTATACACAGCCGTCTGAGTTTTTCAGACCGTTCCAAAGTACCTGAACCCTACGTCCTGCGAGCACGATCGCGATCACGTAAGGCTGTAAGTACTCGCCCCCAGCGGGCATCTTCCAAGCCACGCCAACGAGCGGCTTCGGAAGCGAGTACCGGTTGGTGCTGGTTCCACCGGACTTTTAGGTCCGCCGCCCGCCATTGTCGACCACCCTGCTCATACAAGGCGGGAAACGCCCAAGCCGGCGAGTAAAAGCGGCCCTACTGGCCGGCCACTCACCTCAGGTTGGCCGTTTATTTTACGTGCACGATATCCGCACGAACGCTAGGTACCTAGTTGACACCGGTGCACAAGTTTCTGTCGTACCATTAGGTAGCAGCAAGTTACAACCTACAATAATTCGATTACGCGCTGCGAATGGCACTGTCATTCCTACCTATGGTACACGACAGCTGTCGGTCAACCTGAGCAACCGACGACAGTATCTGTGGACGTTCATCATTGCCGATGTTCCCACAGCTATACTCGGTATCGATTTCCTACAGCACTATGAATTGCTAGTCGATTCACGTAGGCTGCAGCTAATCGATATTTCGTCGAACAGCAAATTTATGGGCTTTCGAGCTCATACAAATGCGTACCGAATAACAGGTTTATTTCATTCGCGTGATGACATTTTCCACGCTTTACTCGAAAAATTCTCCCAATTAACTAAACCACTCGAGGAGACTCCGTCGGTGACCCGACATGTGGAACACCACATCGTCACCCGCGGACCACCAGTCACGGCAAAGCCTCGCCGACTGGCACCGGACAAATTAGCTTTCGCTAAACGTGAGTTCGACAATTTACTAGCTACTGGTATTATTCGTCCTTCTCACAGTCCATGGGCCTCACCACTCCACATGGTTCGAAAAAAAGATGGGATAAGTTGGCGACCATGTGGCGACTACCGAGCACTAAATGTAGTCACGCGTTTCGATAGTTACCCCATCCCCCACATACACGACATCACCGCATCACTCAAGGGCACGACTATCTATTCTAAGATCGATCTGGTACGGGCATACCATCAGATCCCAGTCGCTCCTGAGGATATTGAGAAAACTGCTGTCACGACTCCTTTCGGTCTGTTTGAGTTCCTACGAATGCCATTTGGATTACGGAATGCTGCTCAAACTTTCCAGAGGTTTATCGATAGCATAGTACGAGACTTTGATTTTGTTCACGTCTATATTGATGACTTGTTAATCGCATCATCAAACGTAGATGAACATTATCAACATCTTAAACTCTTATTCCAACGTCTTTCGGATAATGGAATACTAATCAACCCAGATAAGTGCGAACTTGGAAAAGCAGAAATAAAATTTCTGGGTCACGTTATAAAGCATGAGGGTATTTTACCATGTGAAGATAAAGTACGTACGATCATGGAGTACACTGTACCGTCTTCACTCAAAGAACTGAAGGCTTTTCTCGGTTTGGTCAACTTCTATCGACGTTTCATTCCTCACGCCGCGGAACAGTTACGACCACTAACCGATCTACTTCGCGGGAATCCACGTAAGCTAGAATTGAACGATGACGCACGCACTGCATTTTCCGAAATTAAAAAAGCTTTAGCTCAAGCTACGCTCCTCGCCCATCCCGACCCATCAGCCACGCTCAGTATAGCGGTTGATGCATCCGATTTCGCTATAGGAGCCGTCATGCAACAAAACATCTCTGGAAGTTGGCAACCTCTCGAATTTTTCTCACGACGCCTTACTACCACGGAGATGAGATATAGCGCTTTTGGTCGCGAACTGCTAGCAGCCTACTGTGCCATCAAACATTTTCGGCACGCAGTAGAAGGTCGTAACTTTATCCTTTTTACCGACCATAAGCCCCTAACGTATGCTCTTCATACAAAATCTGACCGCTACTCACCACGAGAGTGCAGACATTTGGACTATATCTCTCAGTTCACGACAGACCTTCGTCATATTAAAGGCGAGTCGAACTACGTTGCTGATGCTTTGTCACGTATTCAAATGAATGCAGTTACTTCACCAGTGCTCGATCTTCTTGCTATGGCCGCCGCCCAAGCAAACGATCCTTCTTGTTCAGAAGCACAACAGAATACATCCCTTCAGTGTCAGGAAGTGCCCCTAGCTACTACCTCAGGCACTATCCTATGTGATACCTCTAATGGTCTTCCTCGACCCATCGTACCCTCTGCTTATCGTCGTCTCGTCTTCGATGCCCTTCATGGTTTGTCTCATCCAGGTATCGCAGCTACATTACGTCTTATCGCTGCACGATACGTCTGGCCTTCCATGAACAAAGATGTCCGTATGTGGGTAAAGCAATGCTTACAATGTCAACGATCAAAAGTGCACAGGCACGTAGCCGCCCCCATCGGCACATTTGCTACGCCTGATGCTCGCTTCGATCACGTTCATATTGACATTGTAGGACCATTACCACCATCGCATGGGTATGATCACATACTCACGTGCATTGATCGCTTTACAAGATGGCCCGAAGCTATTCCCATCACTTCTATTACGGCGGAAACAGTTGCTCACCGCTTCGTAGAACGATGGATAGCTCTGTACGGTTGTCCCTCGACTGTCACAACTGACCGAGGACAACAATTCGAGTCCGAACTATTCTCCTCGCTAACTCGGCTTCTTGGTACGGAGCGCATATGCACAACCGCCTACCACCCAGCTTCAAATGGTTTAGTCGAAAGGTTTCATCGCCAACTCAAAAACGCTCTTCGAGCACACGAAAACAATAATTGGTACGAAACCTTACCGCTAGTCCTTCTAGGCATCAGAACGAGCTTAAAGGCAGATATTCAATGTTCCGCCGCTGAATTGGTATACGGCACGACATTGCGTCTGCCTGGGGAATTCTTCACACCACGGAGCAGTGATAACTTCAATAAATCAGACTACGTCCAACGACTGTCTGCATTTATGCGAGCACTGCCTCCGGTGTCAACTCGGGTACAACATCGACAGGTCGCTCTCCCCCGAGAGTTATCTACCTGCTCACATGTTTTCATTCGAGTTGATTCGGTACGCAAACCTTTGCAACAACCTTACGAAGGACTTTTTCACGTGATTTCTCGTCACGAAAAGACCTTCAAGGTTGCTCGACATGGCCGCGTCGAGATAGTCAGCATTGATCGTCTCAAGTCAGCACACGTCGATGACAGTGCCCTACTTGCTAATCCGAGACCCAATGTTAGACCTAGCGGGATCCTCAAAACTACCCCGGATCCCACGCTAACGAAATCAGAAACCTCATTCTCACGTCCCAGTCAGCAGCACGCGCCATCTGCACTGTCTACGGATGAGACTCCGGTCTCACGTCCAGATCAGCAGACCACGCCGCACTTGACTGCGGATGAGAATGCAGGATCACGAGGTACGCACGAGGCTACTGTCTCGCGTGCCGGTCGCCGCGTACGCCTACCTGTACGCTTTCTCGAATAACTACCAATCAACCACGGGTTCGGCATAGGATTTTACACTCGTACTACATGCATGCTACACTTTTCTCCCTTTTCTTCTTTTTTTATCCCGAGCCTATACCTCCGACCATTGTCCTGTTGGTACCGTCGACTTCAGTCAACCTTGGCGAAAGCTGGCCTGATCACCCACGCTCTAGTCAATGCACTCAGTCGATTTTCTGGTGACGAATATATCTGGTATACGAATGGTTTCGCACTGGTCGTTTCTGGCTTTTTCGCTCAATCTGGTTCCGTCCTACGTCTCCAGCTTTATTTGGTCCGGACCCCTACGAACGCAATTATCAGACACTGGATACGAGCCACCCTGGTGTGGTATGCTAACCCGATGGACGAACTTGGCGCATAATTATTGGCACGGCAGCGGACAAACTCCCGGTGACAACTCGAGCTTCATCAGTCGCTTCCTGTCGTCAACCATTCTGCCCGTTAACCGAATATTGGCCGACGAGTCCCCTGAACGAAGCCGCTACATATCGAAAGTGTAAAACCCTTTCTAGGGGGGGGCTCCTGTAGTGGAACTATTTCGTCGAAATAATACGATTACTGACGTACAAATACTTATTATTGAACATATGTAACATTAACTGTTTTATTGTATATCATTTGTTTATTTATACTAAAAGTCACTTTTCGAGCGCCACCCACGCCATCCCTGCGGATCTAACGATCGTCTCGTGTAATCATTGATTGTACAAGCTGAACACGTGATATTATTCTAATATCACTCGATTTTCTATTAATAAACGTTGATATCCTATATACAATCTTCTGTTCTGGATTTAGTTTGGACGTGTAACCTTCACGCTTCAACAATTGAATTACGGTTTGTCGATCTATTTGCAATTCACTAACCCGAATCGACAGCAAAACCAAATTCCAAGGTAGGTACCAAAGTTTATTTGTAATTCACAAATAATCGACCAAAATGTCGTTTGTCGATATACAAATAGACGACCAACAACAATAATTATAATTACAATTACCTTCAATTTTATAGGTTCCTGTAGCAGAAAACTGCAAACGAACAAAACAAGACAAATAGGGATCCAAAATGGCCGGAAATAATAATTCAAACAAGTTCATAAGTTAAGTAAAACAATTATACCCAAAACACACAGTGAAATCAATGATATTAATATAAAGGTTTTGATCAGCCAAATGTCCTCATTTCTCCCGTAACAATATCAGTACAAGATATAGAAATAATAACATTATACGGTGATAAGATGTCAAAATGGAATCAAATAGAGTACCAAAATATCAATAGAAAGAGTCAGTCATATCATAACACAAATATATATACATGGAGGGATTTTCCAAAAACAAAACCTTCAAAATAGATTTTACACTCCTTATGACGGTCACTTGATGGTTCTGTAGTGATGATCTTAATCAACTGCTATTCGCGCTGCTACAAGTTCATGCTAGATATTTCAAATCTAAGAAAATGAATTAACGAAGATTCATCTTAAACTGACAGTACATATTTCTCACAAATTGATTTTGAGGATCCTATATCCCCTATATTGAGGCACACATTCAATTTCTCACATCACCTTCCGGGTACAGTTAAACTGTAATTACAAGCCTGAACCCAAATGTGCTTTCAAAGTAATGTTTAACTAGCCTGAACTCCCTGGTATGACAATTTATGACATATTAGTGTAAGATAATACATACTCTTAATTGAACAGTCACTGTTAGTTGGACGCTAATTGAGTATAGAATTTATGCGCATCTCACAGGAGGGATTACTCCAACAGCAACTCTAGCCAACTAATCGAGTTGCACACTACACTTGATATTCCCTACAAAAATACTGGGTGGAGGCTTTAAAGTATCTAGTTTTACAACTGTATTTTCCTAGCACAGGTACATTTACAAATATTCACAATGTATGAACCTTTAGACAGTCTTCAAAGGAACTAAGGTCGTAATAGCTGAATCTCTCAACGATTTACTTGATCACCACATAATAGGTAAACTTTTATAGGTTTCTCTTGATATATATTTTCCTAGTAAGCCAGAAACTCCTTCATCCTGCACGAATGTTATGTAGCTATTGTGAATAGGGCTGGAAGATTTTTCCGTTTACTAAGTTAAAATTGCATAAGTGGTGAATAAACTGTGGTACACAAAGTTATGTCAACTAAAATTGCCATAAAACGGCGTATTTTGAGCCATACAACGCAGATAAAGCTTTCTAAAACGCACTTGAACACATACAACTCATTTCGAAATTATTGTATATTGGACAATAGGGCCATTTAGCGTTTGTTTGAACAGACCTTTTTAAATCGTGAAGAGAAGCTTGTCGGGATGGCCGATTCCGCCAATAAGGTATGAGTTTTAGTAAAATATAAATGCTATTCTTTTGATGATGATAACCAAAGCTTTTCCTACATAATATAGGACACTCAGTCAGAACACATAAATATCAAAGTGCAAGGACAAGAAGGGGCAGTCATCCATTTCAAAATACGGAAAAATACGCCTTTAAGGAAACTAATGCTTGCATACTGTGAACGATTGGTTAGCATCTAGTTAGCGTATACTCACTCTGCTTTAGGGCCTTCAACAACCCTCAGTACGATTCATTTTCGATGGAAATAGTGTTCATGAGGCTGATACTCCTGCTAAGGTATGTTGATCTTACGATTCTCACCATGATTTATAGTTGGATATGGAAGAAAACGATACGATAGAAGTTTTCCAAACGCAAACCGGTGGATTTTAACTAAAGATTGCCCCCCAGAACTATGTATACATTCTCCCTATTGTTTATGAGACATCCACAAATGTTGGATAGTCAAATTTTCTACCAAGCATTTTCTTCAATATTATAACTCTTAAAGATATTTCATTTCGCACTTCTAATGTAAGTTCCAGGCTCTAGTCTGTATGGGTGGTTTCTTTTCACCTCAAGATATAATTCAACTTGTGCATTAACCCTAAATTCACTTGTGTTACAGCTTATTTTCAGCATGTTTGATATGTTGCTGAAATAATCAGACAGTACATGGTGACTTAGGAATTAAGGATTCAACGGGCGGAATATCACGAGGAGCGTTGATGCTTGTTGCAGGTTTACTAGCGTTATCAGGAAGCTCAAAACTACTGGTTTGTGGTTTCAAACTTAATTCTTATAAGATAACTTTCGTAGTTTCATAAATTATAAAAGATGTGACCCTTAATTGAATTAGGGGCATGTTGCTTCTTGAACTTAAATTACGATAGTGGCAACACTTGTGCACTTTTGACCCAACACAACAATGAGAAGGATAGGTATTTTCCCGTCAGTCGGTACTTTAGACTTCAAGGGGAATATGTATCATTATTTGGAAGAATTGTTTTGCGAAACTATGGACCCTAAGTTTATGGATTTGTATAAATTATGTTTGAAATAGCTCAGCAATTGGGACCTTAGATAATTCTAACATTTCTTCCAGTTATCCTGTCTCGGTAATTATGTAATTTCGCTCAAGCGGTACATATTATTTCCGAGGTATTGTTAGCATGTTACTAAGTGTAATGTACCGTTATCTCTTCAGTAGACTTCCGATTTTATAGAGCACTTGGTCGGAAAGTGGAGTTGAAATTTATCAACGCGTTTTTTTCCATTGTAGAGATCATCTCCTAACATGGTTGGACATTGGACTATCGATCGGCCTCATCTTCATTAGTTTTCAAGTATTAGGGTCAGAGAATTTATGCGGTCCTCAACATTCTATAGTAACACTTGGCCAGTGTACTTATTTACTGAATGTGACTGATTTTCCTAGAGATGCGGTTGGCATCCGCAAAACTGATAATATAGGCTCACAAACTGTAGTTGTGTGACATTTTCGGTTTCCCGAAGTAGTCAGTCCATTTTCCTACTGGGATCTCAAACTTCTTACCCACTATTCAAGCTGTTTCTTGCAGTTTACACCACAATTGTTTACGATATAAAGATCACGACCTCTGGCACTGGAAATCGTGCCCGCTATCTGTACATTCACTAATGATTGGCATATCGAAACCACAACAATAGAGAATAAGCAATATGTTTCCATAAAAAATTCAAAAATTATATCGCCGTACAACTAACGTCTACCTAATATACAGGATATTCAAACTTCCTATAAGTCTGTATGATGTCAGTTGCACCCTCAGGCTAAATCTCAGAACAGCAGCAGTATCTATGTATAGCAAGCAGATACGTATTACATCTTTTGTTTAGGAGTCGTAACTTAAGAAGTATAATACCAAGGTGACTATGAAGTTCATAGGTCGTAATGAGGAAGGTTCATTGAAAATACCAATTTTTCAAATTTCGAACTGATTCTGACTAAATGACTGCATGATCCACAGGGCTTCACTAACTAAAGTTGATAGTGTGACTGTTGCCTCATGTGGTACTGTCTGGAAGAACTGACAAAATATTAACGACCTTCTAGCAAACTTTCCGTCTGTTAGGTGTGACATGGCTGAAACTCAAGATTCAGCTGATCATATGATAGGACTTAGGTATATACGATTACTCATAAGACTATCAAGCATACCTAGATGTATAACAATAGCCTGGAAGACCTAATATGGATGCTAATATTCTGAATGACCCCTCGCCAACGAAATGGCTGTGAGAGGTGGCTTAGTGCTATGTTCGTCATCTTTATACCTGATGACAAAGGCGAATTGAATTTGGTGCAAGAACTATGACATATTTTCCTGGATGTACATTCAGTTAACTCAATCAAAGAGCACATCCAGTAGTTATGAACAATCGAAGTTTGGTAGGACTGAGTGGACACAATCGGATTGAAATAGTGGTAGCATTGGAATAACACAGAAATTAGACCTATCCTTAATCGAATCGGATTTGTGTTGACAAGAGCAGTTGCGCTGAAATGAATTCAAACTGCTCAGTGTGTCAGCGTCTCTCGAGTCTGTGCATATCAACTTGGTAGAGGAATATGATTAACAGACATGACAAGCAATGAAACAAAGGAACATTGTATAGGTTCATACACAACGCATTTAAATTGTTCGCAATACTCTACAAGTTAGTCAACAATTGAATTATTGTATTTGACAGTTAGTCGCATGTTGGTTATATACCGTAATTTCAAAACAAGCTTTCATGTGCGTCTATATACCATGTCTTTGTTCATTACCTCTGATGGATTTAGTGTATACTACAGACGAAATTTATAGCAATGTGACGTTTAAGATTTCTGACTGCACATTTGTGAATGCGGTGGGAAGTATTTGGTGCAGTCGGTCTTCAGCTACAGATCTAATGTTTCCCCTCATTAATCACTTGGGACCGTGTCTGCTGCCCGACGTGGTGGTCGAGCCTGCCTATCGTGTTGACTCAACTGAGGTATTTTAGCTGGAACATGTCTTCTTAGGTTATTTCATGCCAAACAATTCGCAACAACTTATGGGCTGACGGCTAAGTATTACTGACTAGAGGTATGTGACAGCATTTAGGTGTTTCCCTCAGACGACCAGGGACTGCAGCAATTCTGCCATCTCACAAGGAAGCGAGGGGTTAGAAAAGTTCGACCTTAGAAATCCATACTTCACTTTGGCCCACGGATTTCCGTCTCCTGCCGCAAGGAATTCTGAAGAGTGGAGTTAATACGTCGAAAACTTCCCATGAAATGGTTGTGCGTGACCAGCCTCAAGGAGTTGTCTTTTGGGCTCCGCGGTCATGCACCTTGGTAGCCGAGACTGACGCTAATCCGGTTTCTTTTTCGGGTTTCTCAAGAAACACCCACGCTTTGAGCAGTCAGTGAGTGACACCCGCTATCATACACGTAACACATCGCCTCGCCCTGCTAGAGCTAACGATCTGAGTACACCGCTCTAAACTACATGTTGGACCTTCGGACCTTTTGCCAAGTAGGACGACACGATTCCTTAGCAAGGAATCTGGAGTATCATGCCATCCATGCATGTTGCTCCTTCGAAACGCGCTTACGGGATCCGAGTAGAACCACTCAGTTGATTTCACCTTGTCAAGACAAATAGCCGTCACGATTTACGTTTCATTTATTTGGAAGCCCCAATGCTGCTTACAGTGGCCTAGCCTGGTGTAGATATATCATTGGGTCCTAAGACAGAACTATCTCTCTTAGATTGGGTCTCAGTAGATAGCCGCTTATACGTTGTCCGACTAAGCAGGATAGCAAGGACTAGAAAAGATAGGGACACTCGTTGTTGCCTCCTCGTCGTATCTGCCTATGCTCCCACTGACAGCGTTTTAGATGATGTAAAAGATGGATTTTACCAAAAACTTTCTAACTTTCAAAATTTATGCGCTCTGATGTAGTAACAGTGGCTGGTGACTTTAATGCTCAAGTTGATTGACTAAGCAAAACTGAAAGACACGGATGGACCTTATGGTGCTACGACCCACAGAACAAATAATGGCGCCCGTCTGATGCAACTATTCTCAGACAATCCCATATTTCTAGCAAGAGCTAACTTTAAGCATAAAGACAAACATCTTATGTCGTGGAGACCCAAAACTGACTCAGTGCTGGACCCAACTAGATCAAATTACTATCAGCCACAGATGGAGAGGCTCGACAGAAAAATGTCGCTCGTTTTGGAGCACATGTTTAGACTCGGATCATACTCTAATACGAATGCCTATTTGTCTGCATATTACTGCACCTAAGAAACCGAGGAAACCCCTTAGAGTCCTACTTAATGATAAAACGTCAAACAGCATAATTCACGAGCTACTAGATAAACACGTTGACAGCCACGTAAGTGGTTCTCACCCGATGGCAGCTTATAATGATATCCAAAAAGCTGTGGAGACAGCAGTGATATCTGCTAGTAAGGTAAACCAAAGATTAGAGAGAAGCAGTGGATTTCTTCGGCATATACTGGACTTGTAGGTGTTCGGAAACTAATTTTGTATGATTCTGAACATGAGGAGCGGAGTCAGCTTAAGCACAGGCTGATAAGAAGCCTACGCAAAAGAGAGGGAAAAGGCAGCGATGATAGGTAACGATAGTCTGCTATCCAGATTTATCAAGGAAATCGGTAATAGGAAGTGTCTTTTAGCGAGGCTGTCTCGGAAAAGGATGGTCGTATCATTTATTATCAACCCAGGAGATTGTACCGCTGGACAGAAAATTTCAGGGATTAATTCATCTGGCTTTCAGCCACAATTCGGTTAACCACGATCTCCAGTCAACCTGAACGGCTAATTGATGTAAGTCCTCCGACTCTTACTGAGTTGGAAAAGGCTATAGGCATCCTCAAGCGAGAGGAAGCAGCATACTCTGACAGATCACTAAGAGATTTTTAAGGATGATGGTCCAGTTTAGCAGTTAGATTGGCTGTGATCTTAGGCAGATTTTGAGAACTGGGCATAATTCCACCCTAATGGTCTCAACCACTGATAGTCCCAGTCTATGAAAAACAACAAAAGTTTTCTTGTGACAATCACAGAAGAATCAGTTTAACTAATATAGTGTCTAAGATATTGGCTTCGGTAATGCTTCAACGCTTAACGAAAGCTCGTGAAGAGCAGACTAGAGAAAACCAGGCTGGTTTTCGACCTGGACATGGATGTATAAACCAGATATTCACACTACGTCAGATCCTAGAACAAAGACACGTTCAGGCGTCCAACAGTAGTAGCATTTCTCTACCTTGAAGCGGCATCTGACTCTGTGGATCGTGAGGTTCTTTGGCGATGTCCGTCATTGAAGGGTGTACCAAAGATCTACATTAACTTTGTACGGGCTACCTGCTGGGATAATGCTGGTCGAGTGAAAGCTTATGACGAACTGTCATACGAGTAGATTACTTCAAGTGTTGTTCGTCCACTTTCTCCATTCTTATTGACATTGACATGCTTTTGGAGACAGCAATTTCATTGTGTAATTTAATAGGAGTTGACCTTATATGAGGGAGCTCATTTGTTGATTTTGAATATATCACTGCCATAGTTCTATTTGGTGAAGACACTGAAAAAATGCAGTCTTCTTACCATCCTAAGCAAGCATGTTTGGGATGCGGTTCTCCCCTCCATATGCAAAGTGTTGCTTCAGGATAGACTTGTGTTGGTACCTGAACTAGTGATGGGGAGTGAAGTAGTTGAGATTTTTGACCTCTTCACTTATCGTTAGAGTCTCATCAGCCTTGGCCTGGTTTTTTCCCAACTTGCGTTACTTATGGCGTAGGTGAGATATTCGTTTGCTAACCAAAGGACAAGTGTACTGCGCATCAGTTCGCTCCCTCCTACTATATCGGTGTGAAATCTAGCTGGATGGTTTAAATGCTGATTTTTTTTATTGTCGTTCAGGACAACATTATAAGTATTTGCTTTATTGAGAAACCAGCTTTTTAATTATTCCACAAGCATTAGATCAACCTTTTCTGGTTAATTTGTCTTCATGAGTTTTGTTTTTTTTCGTATATCCTCGTATACCACCTGTATTCTTATGCTGATCTCTGTGTAATTGTTTGGCCTTGTTACAAAAATTGAAGTTCATAATAATGATCATACAGTGTTGATCGTGTTATTTAAGTAGTTCATGAGTAGTAGTATTGTCAAACGAGCACAGACTGAACTTTTTTTTAACCGATCAATGAACACACTCATCCCAAAAAAGAGAATGAAAATACAAGTTTTACAATAATCATCGCTGAACTGCAGTCCTAAAGTCCTCTACTTCATTTCCCATCCAACTAAATCGTTAATAAATTCATCCATTTAAAAAAAAAACCTGACTTTATTTATGCAAAAATAAACAACAATAAAAATTGAAATACCTGATTATGACATTTTTATGATAGATCAAATAAAAATAAATTAAATTAGGTTATTAGATAAAACGATAAATGAATAGTAAAAGTATTTTCTTTTCACAGCATAATTTTTGTTACATTTAGTTAGTAGATTACTCTTTTGTTGATTAAAGTAAACAGTTGTAGCAATAAGGAAACTCCTTTAAAAAAATTCCAATACTTTTATTACTACTAATTAATTTTATTATTGTCTGACAGCTTTACTCAAGTGCAAATAAATAATCATGTTCTATATATTATAGTCAATGAGATCATGCTCCAATAAGTGCCAATAATAAACGACGATAATCTCTTGATGTTTCATCCTATAAGAGGAATGTGTAAAGTAAACAGATTTATACTGTTAACTATCAAAACAAAGTGGTACAATGTTTAACTTGATGATAAAATGATTTTACTACACAAGCTATTTGCCCTATGATTCAGTTACCTGTGTACTGTGTCATAGTTGATTATTTTCAGTTATTAGCTAAGTGGACTGAACTTCATTATTCAACTATGAATTATCTAAATTATATTTAGATGTATGGGTGTGCACAAGGCTTGTTAGCGTTTCAATCAGCTTGATGCAGTATTCGAGTTTCCTTACTGTAACAGAACAACTTTACCGTACCATACGGTGGGATGGTTGTTGAATCATTCTAATTACTAATTATTTAAATATAGGTAATTAGGGCATAATGATTATTATGGCAAGACGACATCATACTACCACTGTAAATTCTATCGAAGCGTCGAGTCATACGCCGGAAATACAAGTGGAATCCAAGTTCAAAACGAAGATTTATCTAAAGAGGTGTAGCCTGTGATCCGACTCCAATTTGGACGATCGATTGAATATGCTATGAAATAAATCGCTTCGATTTAGGTTTATCATTCTTAGGGGAAACTCCGCCAGTAGAACCTTAGGGGCTACTGCCGGTCCCAAGCCCGGATAAAGGAGGAGGGTTGGACATGGGGTTGGCGGCCCCATTCCGTTGAAATCTAACTTGCCAAAAAAACGCTAACCAGAAAAAATAATTCAAACCATTTTAACTCTGCCCTGGGAGTTGGAAGAAGAATTATGACGTCTCGTGATGAAAGCCGAGTCCCCTCGGAAGTCACGGGGCCGATGCCTCTTCTGACAACCAGAGCAACCATTTTTTTAGGTACATGGAACGTTCGTACATTGTGGGAGACTGGAAGACTATTTCAAGTTGCGGCAGAAATGAAAAGATACAACCTCGAGGTGCTCGGCATCAGTGAAACACATTGGACACAGGTAGGACAACTGAGACTTGCTTCAGGGGAACTGCTGTTATACTCTGGTCATGAAGAGGAAAACGCTTCACATACACAAGGAGTTGCACTGATTCTGTCCAAACATGCACAAAAGGCACTGATAGGATGGGAATCTCATGGACCCAGGATCATTAAAGCATCCTTCAAAACAAAGAAAGAGGACATTACAATGAACGTCATCCAATGTTATGCACCTACCAATGACTACAATGACGACGTTAAAGATCAATTCTACGAAAGGCTGCAGTCAGTCGTCGATAAATGTTCACCAAAGGATTTGACGATTCTTATGGGAGACCTGAATGCCAAGGTTGGAATGGACAACACTGGATATGAAGACATCATGGGACGACATGGACTGGGAGAAAGGAACGAAAACGGTGAGAGATTTGCAAACCTATGTGCCTTCAACAAACTGGTCATCGGTGGCACAATATTCCCGCACAAACGCATTCACAAAGCCACATGGATTTCACCGGACCACACTACTCAAAACCAAATTGACCATATCTGTATCAACAAAAAGTTCAGAAGGACCATGGAGGATGTGAGAACCAAGAGAGGAGCTGATATAGCTTCAGATCACCACTTGCTGATCGCCAAAATGAGATTGAAGCTAAAGAAGCACTGGACAGCGGGGCAGACAACATCACAGAAGTTTAATACGGCATTTCTTCGGGATACCGTAAAACTCAACGAATTCAAGATAGCCCTCACCAATAGGTTCCAGGCCTTTCAGGATCTACTCAATGGAGAGGAAGCAACATTGGAGAACAATTGGAAAGGGATTAAGAAGGCAACCACTTCAACATGTCAGGAGGTCCTTGGTCGCAAGAAGCACCATCACAAAGAATGTATCTCTGTTGGTACTCTTGAAAAAATTCAAGAAAGGAGGAACAAGAAGGCAGCTATCAATGTCTGCCGAACAAGAGCAGAGAAAGTTAAGGCGCGAGCCGAGTATACAGAAGCAAACAGGGAAGTGAAGAAGAGCATCAGAGCTGACAAACGAAAATATGTGGATTATCTAGCAATGACGGCGGAAAAGGCTGCAAGAGAAGGAAACTTGAGACAATTGTACGAAACTACAAAGAAGCTCGCCGGAAACTATCGTAAACCAGAACGACCAGTGACAAGCAAGGAAGGGAAAATAATCAGCAACACTGACGAACAGCGAAATAGGTGGGTGGAGCACTTTAAGGAACTATTGAATCGACCAGCTCCACTGAACCCACCCAACATCGAAGCAGCATCCACGGACCTCCCAATTAATATTGGCGCACCTACGATTGAGGAGATCAGTATAGCCATCAGACAAATCAAGAGCGGCAAAGCAGCAGGACCAGACAACATTCCAGCAGAGGCAATGAAAGCAGATGTGGAAGCAACTGCGAAAATATTTCACATTCTCTTCAAGAAGATTTGGGATGAGGAACAAGTACCATCAGATTGGAAAGAAGGATACCTGATCAAAATACCAAAGAAAGGCGATCTCAGCAAGTGTGAGAACTACAGAGGCATCACTCTTCTTTCAATACCAGGCAAAGTCTTCAACAGGGTATTGTTAAACAGAATGAAGGACTTCGTAGACGCCCAACTTCGAGATCAACAGGCTGGATTTCGTAATGATCGATCATGTACTGACCAAATTGCTACATTACGGATCATTGTGGAACAATCAATTGAACGGAACTCACCACTCTACATCAACTTCATCGACTACGAGAAAGCATTCGATAGCGTGGATAGGAAAACACTGTGGAGGCTTCTTCGACACTACAGTGTGCCTGAGTAAATAGTCAACATCATACGGAATTCTTATGATGGATTCAACTGCAAAATCGTACACGGAGGTCAGCTGACAGACTCTTTTGAGGTGAAGACCGGTGTCAGGCAAGGTTGCTTACTCTCACCCTTTCTCTTTCTCCTGGTCATCGACTGGATTATGAAGACGTCAACATCTGGAGGGAAGCACGGTATCAACTGGACAGTTAGGACGCAGCTGGACGATCTGGACTTCGCAGATGATCTGGCTCTTCTATCGCACACTCAACAACAAATGCAAGAGAAGACGACCAGTGTAGCAGCAGCCTCTGCAGCAGTAGGTCTCAACATACATAAAGGAAAAAGCAAAATTCTCCGATCCAACACAACATGCACCAACCGAATCACGCTTGATGGAGATACCTTGGAGGACGTTAACACCTTACATATCTTGGCAGCATCATCGACGAGAAAGGTGGATCGGACGCAGATGTGAGGGCGCGGATTGGCAAAGCAAGGTCTGCATTTCTACAGTTGAAAAATATCTGGAACTCAAAACAACTTTCAAACAAAACCAAAATCAGGATCTTCAATACAAATGTCAAGACAGTTCTACTGTATGGAGCGGAAACATGGAGAACTACCAAAGCCATCATCCAGAAGATACAAGTGTTTATTAACAGTTGTCTACGCAAAATACTTCGTATTCGTTGGCCAGACACCATCAGCAACAACGTACTGTGGGAGAGAACAAGTCAGATTCCAATGGAGGAGGAAATCAGGAAGAAGCGGTGGAAATGGATAGGACATACACTACGAAAAGCACCCAACTGCGTCACTAGACAAGCCCTCACATGGAACCCTCAAGGCAAAAGGAAAAGAGGAAGGCCAAGGAACACACTACGCCGAGAAATAGAGAAAGATATGAGAGGAATGAACAAACATTGGACAGAACTGGAGAGGGAAGCCCAGGACAGAGTTGGTTGGAGAAAACTGGTGGGCGGCCTATGCTCCATTGGGGGTAAAAGGCGAAAGTAAGAAAGTAAGTAATTCTTAGGGGAACTCCGTTTGTGCAACGGCACTTATTATAAGCTCAATGCGGTTTTGTGGATGAGTTTATTTAATACATTCATTTAAGCAGACAGACAATAGAATGCCAAACGTAAATTTAAAGCGGAGAAAGGTAGTGCGCCAACTCAATGCGATGAAGCCTAACTTAGTGTTTATAGTCAGACAAAAATAATCTAGAGATGAGATAAACGAAGTAAGCAATACACAAACGCACTCAAATGGAAACAACCAACATTTAAGCGAATAACTGACAGGGTCAAAAGAAGTTCGGATAGTAACTCGGGCACGAAAAGCTAATTAGTTTGTCCAAAAGCTAGGAGAAGCCTCATCGGGTCAACATACTAGTACACACACTGCAAGGGGCTCTACTAACACGAAGTATATGTAAATTAAATGCAAACCTCAATGCATGAAGTACCTTTGGCAATTAATCTATGTATATGTGTTGAAAGGGTAACGCTCCCTGAATTAATTGCACCAAGATGAACTACAACGTAGGATAGGGTAATTATAGTTGGCACCTATGTCTAGTCACTAAAGTAATGGTAGTCACAATCATAATTAAGGTAAATATCACTAATTTGAGTACACACTTGGGAATAATACACAACAAAAAATGAGTTGTACCATGTGCTCAAAAGTTATGAGAAATAAGACCGGTTACTGAATAGTAGTGAGTAGTAAAAGTTGTTACACAAAAAGAGTTGAAAGAGCATTGGACGAAAACGACGTTTACAATTGCAAAAATGTGAATAGCAAAAAATCACCTGGAAACGTGCATGAATATACGTTGAAGATCTTTTAAGGTTTAGACGATTTTGCTGATAAAATTATATATATATATATATATATATATATATATATATATATATATATATATATATATATATATATATATATATATATATATATAAGATTTGTCAATGTATTGATGTATTTTATTCAAACTTACATGTATGCATGCTTCTAGTGTTTTCCCTTTTAAACTATGGAATTCTCTTTTAATTTGTCCCATGTCAACTTCACAACGAGATACAACAATGCGAATAAGAGTTCTGTCATCTGTTCCGGCACTCTTCATAGCTTTTAATAATTTTGCTGCAAAATATCGTGGTTTATTTTGTATACAACGAACTGAAATGAAATTTAAGTGATGAAATATGTAAATAAATATCGGTAAACATATATTGATCAACTGATTAATTAACAAGACTTTAACTGAAATACAACTGCCATTCAATTCTCTAGTGATTTACATGTTTCATCAGCCAAACTTCAGTTAGATAACTATTGTGATCAACTAACTAACTTATAATTTATTTTAGACGAAAATGATAATTAACATAACTTACCAATAGAGAGTAAAGCACTCAATGTATGCCCATGCATTTCTGATTTTAAAGCATCTTCCATATTACGCTTACCAAGTGATGTATATTCGTTGAACACAGCTCGTAAGTGAGCATATGATCGTGTAACCAAGATATGAATGAATCTAATATAGGTATAAATATAAAAAATTGTTTTGAAGTGTTTATTAAAAAGCATCGGTGTTATGTGATACATCAAAATGGCTTTCTGTTATGCTTGCCACTAGTTGATATGCTTGAACTATTACGAGTTCACCTTAGTCAGTAAACGAGAGAGAAGACAAATGATCCAGTGACACGATAGGCTATTCTAATCCGAGCGTCACAAAGCCCCACCAAGTAGAGGAATAAAGTTTGATATGGTGTAGGAAGTGTATTTTACTAGCACCTAGAAAGAATGTGGTTCCGAAGCACACAAATCGAGTTTACTTATACATGATAGAAATATCCTTGTGAGAGTCACAAAAAGAGCGTACTAAAATAACACATCAACCAATGATAGTGAAGGATTTTCCGGGTGGGAAATGTTATCTGAAGGTCAGCTAACCAGCCCATGTGCGAAAGCATAAAATCCAAAATTAGGACCTTTATCAAAGAGTTCTTCGGATCTAACGTCCCGAACACTTTCATTCAATCAATCAACAGCAACGTAGAACTTCGTACGTAAGTACATCAGTTCATGTTGCCATACCACATTAGCACAGAGATGTAAATGTCAATTCAAATCCCATAGCAGTAGAGGTAGTGAAAGTATTAGCAGTATTCGGAGACATTAGGGTTCCACGATATTATTCGAGGAGTAGAACCTAGTGAAATAAACTTTAAAAGATAAAGGTGATGAGGAATTCAGAAGATTAGGATTTGAGAGAACACAAAGAATGAATGCACCTGAGCAATTGCAAACGCTTTGAAGCCAGGTCATTCAGGGTCTCTAACCATCAATTATTATCATCTCGCGGGCCCAAACCAGGCAGTGGACACCTACCAACATGACGCAGTCCAGTTGTCAGTGACTTCATGGATTTGTGCCATGTTTTGGTTTGGCCGCCACTAGCTTTCTTCCAACCTATTCCTACACCGCAAAATATAGCTTGACGAGGCAGTCGGTGGTTAGGCATACGCAACACATGTCCCAACCACCTCAACTGATGAAGTTTCAATATTTCATCTATTGATCTGCCATTCTTACCTAGCACCTGTTTCCTAATAACAGCGTTGCTCACTCAGTTGTCCCACGATACACGAGCAATGCTTCGGAGACACCTATGATCGAAAACCAGCAACCTACTAATATTTTCTAATCTGACTGGCCATGTTTCACAGCCATAAAATAGGACGGAGCGAACTACTGCGCAGTACATTCGTCCTTTAGTCAGTAAACGGATATCTCGCCTACGCCATAAGTAACGCATCCTTTGGAGGATCACATTTATTTATTCTGACAATGGTATGTTTTTTATACGTAGAGATTGGAGAAACGGATTATTATTATCCATATTCTCGTTGTATATATTTATCTTTATAAAACTAGATTGATATACATCACATTTATCATATGCTCGTGATTAACCCATCGATTACTTTTGCACAATTTACCATGCTTAAATTTTTTACCAGTTACAATTCAAAGCCTACACCACTCACATCTGTTTTGTTTGATGAAGTATAATTGTTATCTTTCCATTTATGGTGTGACGCTGTCTGTCTGTATATGAACTACGTGTGCTTGAAATACAGTAGAGGCTAGCTACTGACTTCTGGATCCAATGGTCGATCAGAGAGGGAATCTACAAAATCGTACGTAGCCCAATGAGTACTAGTCAGTTCAATCAAGGTTACTAATGCCGGTTGGGGCGTATGATTGTTTAAATCAAGAGAGAAAGTTATTTTTTATTTAACAAGGGTTGCAAAAAAGCAACATCTACTGTCCTTGTTAGATTTTGAGACTAACAAATACGTAGCAAGTAAAAAATGTGACAAATCTATTAAAAAAATATGAACTATATTTGATTGTATTGCATTCTGACCTTTCAGCTCTTTTGCCTATTGATTGTAATCTAGTCAAATATATTGATTTATTTTTAAGGTATGTTTTTCATGTTCATTTAGTCCGGTCGTCTATAGTTTACACTAATCACGTTATAATTCTGGATCATATCACAAATTATCAATCAGTAAGATGTGTTTTCACTTGTAGAACATTTATATTGAATTTACAATTGTGTACGATCTGCATATAAGGATGAATTCACAAGTTTATAAATTTAGTAGTTATCAAAAAAGTAACTGATAATAAAAGTTGTTCCTGATCCCAACCACTTCATCAGATGAAGACTTACTACTTCACCAACTACTTACCTAGTACTCTAACAACTAACCTGAAAATAATTTACAAGTTTTTTTCTACTATAAGAGAGTAATGCTTTCAAGACTGCAGTAATCAAATACTTATGGCTTATGCATTTCTTCTACTTCTCTAATAAGAAGCTTAACGAAATTTTAGCATTGAAAGAGAATTGTTATTAGATGAAAGTCAGTCATGTGTAAAATCCTACAGAAACCCACGAAGTTTTATGAAACAGTATCATCAAACTTATGTTGATTTTGAAAAAAAAAATAATGCACTTACTTTGATTCATCTGTTCCAATTTTTTGTTCTCCTGCTCTATACAAATCTTCTGCATCTCTTCGTGCAAGTGTATTATCTACAAATGTAGATTCATCTCTGTTCGCTTGTAGTAAAGCGATACATATACGTTTAAAATGACGTGTAGTATCGTTTTCGACATCTTTTTCTAAGTTACGTCCATTGAATACTGAAATTATGAAGAATTTATTTATTTATTAGTTAAAAAAAATGAAGAAATAATTTATAGTTTATAAGACCGACTGACTTCTCTAAAGTGTACAGTCACATCTCCGGAATCAAAACCATCGTCTTTAGGTCCCACAATCAGCTCCTAAACTGTGAGACTAATGAGTTAGTATCCACTGGTTAACATTTCTAACTTATCTGAATGACGAAATAATCAGTTAATCTCTTAATAAATAATCCTAGAAAACTAACTAGTAAATATGAGTTAAAATCAGTAACGCATATAAGCGAACAATATTGTTTTCGATTAGATCGTCATCAGGCTTTACTCTAATATACATGAATATTGATATGAAAATGTTAAACCAAAGCCTGCGACACTCTGCAGGACAAATTATTGAGAGCATTTAGTAGGACATTCAATGCAGCCAAACTTGCGTTGACCTTCTCAAGTCGACCAGTGATGTCTACTCAAACGAAGGATAAGTTACGTGAGTTGGCCTCCTCTATGTGCATTTACAAATTCAGCTGCTCCTGTGGAGATAGCTATATCGGGCGTACTACCAGGCAACTTAACCAACGAATTAGTGAACATCTCCCTGCATGGTTTAAGAAGGGTCAGTCAAAAATAATACGCAGTCCGATTTTAGCACACCTGGTTGATAGTGGTCATATTGTAGATAAGTCTAGATCTTTTCGAGTGATCTATCGTATACCTCAATCATTTCCCAACGGAGTTCGATCCCGTCTCCTACATATAGCAGAAGCCATAGGAATTCGTACATTCAACCCCAATTTATGTGTTCAGAAGAAATTCGTGACACCCCTATCTCTTCCGTGGCCGAATATGACGTAACTAACGATTGACATTATATTTTTTATCTTATTTTTATTTTTACATATTTGCTTATTACGTAATGGTTTTGATGTTTTTAATGTTTATTTGATGTCTATTCATCCACCTTTGACCTACTATTGATAAAACTTTAGTTATCATATTATATAATATTCTTACTAATATCAGCACTCACCTGTCTTCCTACTATCCACTTGAACTTTTGCCTATTATATGTAGTTACGTAATCTTTTTTCATTTCATTGTGATTATCACTCAAATTGCCTCGATTGGTTTAACATTTTCATATAAATATTCATGTATATTAGAGAGCAAAGCCTGAAAACGACGATCTAATTGAAAACAATATTGTTCGCTTATATGTGTTGTTCTAATTTTCACAATGGGAATCTTTAATACTCTTAAAATCAATACTTGAACAAAATGAGAAATACATCAACCGTCCTTCATACCGACATAGATAAACAGAAAAATGATTTTTTTCATTTAGAACAAATGCATTATACTAGTTGAATATTGTATGGTAAGCTTTTTAAATCACGATCAACCAAGGAGACAAAAATGTAAATACGACAGGGTAACCAACAAGATATCTCAAGCTCATCATGAAATGATGCCAGTATGAGAATCTTTTCTCTAAAGAATCAAGGACACACATTGCGGAAAGCACCTAACTGCGTCACGAGACAAGCCCTCACATGGAACCCTCAAGGCAAAAGGAAAAGAGGAAGGCCAAAGAATACATTACGCCGAGAAATAGAGAAAGATATGAGAAGAATGAACAAAAATCGGATAGAACTGGAGAGGGAAGCCCAGGACAGAGTTGGTTGGAGAAAACTGGTGGGCGGCCTATGCTCCATCGGGGGTAACAGGCGAAAACTCAAAAAACTCAAAGATAGCTCATACTTATTTGTAAATGTAATCAGTGATAATCTTGTTTGTAATGTATTTGAGCTAGCTAAACTAGCTATCATTATATTTGATATGTTTCTCTAGAAGAATTTAGGTAATATTGTAACAGACTATCTAAATTACAAAACATTTCATTCGGGCTTCTTAAATTAATTGTAATCTATTAAATAAATAAACCACATACAACCTTAATAATAGTAACAAGATTTTTTTTCAACTCATCTATCGATCTGCTCTATTCTATTATGCAAAACAAATAAATCTCTGTCCTTTTATTAGGTATAAAGCACCTTTAAATATAATAAGTATTCTATCCATTAGTAATTCTTTTCATTGCATATTGATTTACTGTAAATTGGTTGAATGCATGAAAGCAATTATAACTTGAATTTGAACAACAGATTGACAATATTCAAGTATTTTTTTTCTAAAAGATAGATTATGATCAATCCATTACTTAATAAACATTCATATTTCTCTTCATTTTGGTAGATACAAATTAAATGACCTTTATACTACTATTTCAACGATAAGTTTGTTCAATTTATTTATCAATTTATTTAAATTGCTATCGTTTCTGAAATTCAATATGAGAAACTTTTGAAAAAAAAAAGAAACAAATTATTCTCTTTAGTTAGCTAAGTATGAATTAATTTAATGATATGAATTTAGCAAAAGCTTGGTCGCGCTGGTCGATCATACAAAATATTGATTGAACACGAAGGCTTTGTGACCTTGACGTGATGAGGTCACGTGAATCACCCTTTTATGTACTATATATATTATACCCTATTGTTCTGTTATTGATTATTTCTATCGATTTATTTGGTGTGTTTAGACTGACCTTGCTAAAATCTGTCAGCCAGCTTAAAACAGATAATTAGAAGAGATGTGCATAGTCTGAAACTGGGCCTTACTAAAAGCTAATAAATGTCACAAAAAGAATTATCAAAAAAGTTAGGGAACTCTGAAAAATTGTTTTATTCTAATTTAAGACTTCTTTCTCTTTATAGTTAATAATTAATCTAAGCGAACTATCGGAGCATATATCTTCCTGTTGATGATATTCATGAAAACACTTGATCCACTCACTAATTATTGACTGTGTGCATTCTGAACGGATCACCGCAGTATCACCATTTAGTTACCAGTTTTAAAGATGAAGTTTAGCTAAGACAGGGATTTAGGAAGCGCAGTGAAAATACAAGGATATACAAAATCATATAACGGGTTCTATATCGTGAGTGCACGGTTATGAATGTAGGTTATTTGAACATTTTTATTTTCAATGATTGCTTAGCTGATTCAGGTTCATATTTGTTTAGTTATCTTCATAAATAAAGCAAAATAAATTAAAGAATCAAAAGCAATTTCTTTTCACACATTTAAAATCATCAATCAATCATTGTTAGACCACCATTAGAAACCTGGAAGCACTGGACGGCTGTTTCGTCCTGGTATGGGACTCATCAGCAGTGCACATCCTCGACTTCGTAATAACTGACATTAGTCACAATGAATCTTTCTATTTACTGCTATTTTGAAAACAAATACAAAAATATATTTCAAAATTTTCATAATTATCATTACTTACATCTTGGATATATATCTTTAATTCTTTTAATTTGTTCATTTGTTCTTGAACAAAGAATTTCAATCAATGCATCTTCATCAGTACCAGCTCCTCTCATTGCTCTACGAAGTTCTAATGCATCAAGTTCTGCTGGTGAATAACACAATGCAACGACACAATCTTCTAAATGTCCATGTAATTCAGATTTAAATTTAGCAAATAAATCTTTTCCATACATTGATTTATATTTTTGTACAATTGCAACACGTTGATCAACAGATCGATGACCCATTACTTCAATAATTTCTTTTTCATTTGCTCCTAATCCAGCCATAGCTTTTTTTAAACGTTCACAGTCTCGTTCAACACAAAAATCAGATGCTGCTCTTAATGTTGGCTCCATCTAATAATATTGAGTAATTGAATATTTGATAAATAAGTAAAGTAATAACATGTTTCAGTTAAAATTTCTTACAATGGATATTGATATTTATTTAATATCTATTTGCTAGCTATACAACTCCTCTATCTAAGAGTTGAAGTGACCTATTAATTTTAAAATCAAAACAAGTAATACTGATGTACATCTAAAAATAACCGCGCCCATAAATATGAACTAGTAGTATTTTTCGATTCAACACAAAATACTCAATCAAGGAGATTCTCACGTGATTTCAATCGATTGATTTTATTTAATTTACTTGTGACAAGCATCTCATTTTAAATTTCCTGTATAAATTCATATGACAGTCAAATATGAATAGTATGCTTGTAAAGATGATATACTTGTATCAAAGAGTTGATTGAAGTGATAAGTACTTACCAAAATTTATCTGACCATCTTAGATTATTACTTTTAGTGAAAAGAAAACGCTGAATTCTTCAGACTATGTTAACCAGGAAGTAAAATCTCGAATGAGCATATGGTTAGGTATTATCAGAGCTTTGCGTTGTACATTAATAATTTTCTTAAAAATGTCACACAGTAATACTTATATTTACAAATTGTCTAAGTTACTGTATCACTCGACTAAATTATTTACTTACAAACAATTATAACAAATTAGAAACTATGCAAAAGTATGGTATCAAACTCATGAAATCATCAAATCCAACTTTTACGATTCATAGACTAACAAACTATAAACAAATCGAGTGACAGTATTTGTTACCTAAACACCAATCTACTCAAGTAAATTTACATTGAGACTAGAAAATTATGTGAATCACTAGTTCATAGAACTACCGATTAAAATGACTTCAAAACTATTTAAACAAAATTCTTCACTCAAATAACAACAACTACAACAACAACATACTATATCTTCGTGTGGAGCTGATTCAGCAAAACCGAATACTCTTGATGTACCGGAAAAATCATTCGTCTGAGATGAGATAGGAGTAGGAAAATCATTAAACATTGGATAGACGGATTGTTGACTTGTGCTCATTGAGTCACCAACAAACGAAAATCCACCTGATGCTGGTACAGTTGGATTACCATAATTTGTTGGTGGATTTTGCAAACCAGGATTGCCAGGAATATAAGAATTTGGCATTTGACTTGCATAATCCATTTGAAAGGCGGGTGTACCTGGTAAATATGGTGCAGTAGGAGCAGTATTTCCATAAGAAGGATTTGTATAACCTGGTTGTGTTGGAAATGAAGCAGTTGGATTGTTTAAACGTTGATCAGGAAATCCACCCGGTGCAGAGCATGGTATGTTATTAAAACTTGCACCTAGTTGTTCAGTGAATCCACCTATTGTAGATCCTGGATATACTGATGTGTTTGGATTTGTAAAACCTCCTGAGGGCAGATCAGAATATCCTCCATATGGTGCTCCTGGATACCCACTTGCGTTTGAATTTGTGAAACCTCCTGACGAATCAGGATATCCCGGATATCCTCCTGAAGTCATTCCAGGATATCCTCCAGAAGGCATTCCAGGATAACCTGCATTAGGTTGCTGGGGATTGTTTAAGTTCCATGCAGAAAGATCGGAGTAATTTGGATCCATTCGTCAAACCAATTCAATTAAAATGAGATTGCTGAACAAAAAACCAACAATAAATTGATTTATTTTTGAAGGTCATTCATGTGATCCGTTAATTGGTTAAAATGAATAATTATAGTACTAAAGGCCAGTTAAATTGACCAATAGAAAAAGAAAAGCAACTTTCGTAATATTAAAAGATTTTTTATCGTCGATACCAAGTTTTTTAAAATTGTTTTAAATCATTTTTAAACTTGCATTATGAGTTGTAATCATAGAACTATTTAGAAAGTGAACGGAATTCGAGTTCCAAACTTTTTAATTTCGTTCAGAATTATTATTTAATAAGAATACGTTACACCATTGGAACTTTCTGAAAGAACTTAAACATTTATGACTATATTATTATCATTATGCAGCTGTTCATGATTGTTTTTGATTGATGATTTATAAATAGGTGAATTTCATCACTTGGGTAGTCGATATTTTTGCAAATATACAGTATCCTGCGGGGTGCAGGAGTCGTGGGTGCGCATTGCCTAGGAGTCCCATACTAAGACGAAACGGCCGTCCAGTGCTTCCAGGTTTCTAATGGTGGTCTAACATTGATCGAAAAATGGTTTCGAAAATGTGTGACTTAACAGTCTTCACAGCCCCGTAATGCAAATTATTTATGCTCACTAGTGACTAGCTTCGTGAGGAATCTTCTCCGAGTTCTAGTGGGAAGACGTGACCAGTGAAGTTCAACCTGTTCGGGTGTAGACAGTAACTACCTGAAGACTATGTATGAGGTTGCGCAACTCCGTGAATTGATCAAGTTAGACATTAACACCGTTAGATGCCGGCTCATTGGTCCAGTGGTTAGGCGTCCGCGCACAATACCAGAGGCCCTGGGTTCGAATCCTGCGAGGTGCAGGAGTCGTGGATGCGCACTGTTGAGGAGTCCCATACCAGGACGAAACTGCCGTCTTTCAGTGCTTCCAGGTTTCTAATGGTGGTCTAACATTGATCGATTCATGGTTTCAAAAATGAGTATCAGACAAGTAGTATCCACGATTATAAAAACATTATCAAGGTCTCCACATCACTTTAAACTGACATCCACAGATAGTTTTATTGTCGTTCTTAAAAGATTAAAGGTTTTTTAAAAATATTTTTAAAATTGAAGCGGACTTACAACCTGTAACAATATGTAGTATTTCAACTCGTTTTTTAAAATTTTTTGTAATCCTTAAAATGTCCTTATACATCGGTTAATATCAACTCAGAATCAAGTAAATTTAAACGATTGATAATATGAGCAAGATTTTATGAATATCGAAGACTTCTTCATAAAAGTTTTTATTAATGAATCATCCTTTAATTTGGGAAGATCTATATACAAGAGGAAAATCAGCAAGTGCCATGGTTCCGTCAACACGTGGAACGAATCTAAGTTTGATATCTGCAATAACAGAAAATCAAGTACTTTTTGCTCAAACATTTATTGGTTCACTGAACTCCTATAAGTTCATTCACTTTTTTTGATCAATTGATTGAAAAATGCAATCAAAAATTCAATTTTTTTAAGAATTGCATTTTTATCCTTGATATAATGCGAAGATCCATCACTCCAACATTACTAAAATTTTTTTTGATGAAAAGAGAGTAAAGGTTATATTTTTGTCCTCTTATAGTTAGTTGTATGCTTAATCTAATTGAATTTGCATTTTCAAAAATTAAATCCATTGTATAAGATCAATGACAAACGGATTTCATGAATCATTTACAAATCGTATATCGACATTGAATTCTGTAAATCAATTAACCACAAATGATTTGTTTACAAGTTTATTCGAGGCATATACGCCGTAATTGTTTAAAAGCGATTGCTAAAGAAAGCTTTAATAAAAAAATAGTAGTAGTCTTTCTATTTTTTCAAAAAAACATTTTAAAAAACTCTATGAAAATTAAAAAAAACGAGTTGAACTACTATATATTGCTACAGGTTGTAAGTCCGCTTCAATTTTAAGAAAATTTTTAAAAAACCTTTAATCTTTTAAGAACGACAATGAAACTATTTGTGAGGCTTGCGTGTGTGGGTATCAGTTTAAAGTGATGTGGACACCTTGATCATGTTGTTATAACAGTGAATCCTACTTGTCTGATACACATTTTTGTAACCATGAATTGATCAATGTTAGACCACCATTAGAAACCTGGAAGCACTGAAAGACGGCAGTTTCGTCCTGGTATGGGACTCCTCAACAGTGCGCATCCACGACTCCTGCACCTCGCAGGATTCGAACCCAGGGCCTCTGGTATTGTGCGCGGACGCCTAACCACTGGACCAATGAGCCGGCATCTAACGGTGTTAATGTCTAACTTGATCAATTCACGGAGTTGCGCAACCTCATACATAGTCTTCAGGTAGTTACTGTCTACACCCGAACAGGTTGAACTTCACTGGTCACGTCTTCCCACTAGAACTCGGAGAAGATTCCTCACGAAGCTAGTCACTAGTGAGCATAAATAATTTGCATTACGGGGCTGTGAAGACTGTTAAGTCACACATTTTCGAAACCATTTTTCGATCAATGTTAGACCACCATTAGAAACCTGGAAGCACTGGACGGCCGTTTCGTCTTAGTATGGGACTCCTAGGCAATGCGCACCCACGACTCCTGCACCTCGCAGGATTCGAACCTGGGACCTTCGGTATTGTGCGCGAACGCGGACCACTGAGCTGGTATCTAACGGTGTTAATGTCTAACTTGATCAATTCACGGAGTTGCGCAACCTCATACACAGTCTTCGGTAGTGGTTACTGTCTACACCCGGTTTCTAATGTTGGTCTAACATTGACTGATTCGTGGTTTCAAAAAATGTGTAACTTAACAATCTTCACAACCCCGTAATGCAAATTACAATAATTGTTTGAAAATATTATTTGACACTAGAGAATATACTATTGAGATGATATTCATTCATGAAATAACTATTCAACAAATTGTCGAAGACAATGGATGAAGTTTTACACAATCCTTAGATTGATCAAAGTTAGACATTAACACTACTAGATGATGACTAAGTGGTCTATGGGTTAACCATTTGCGTGTGAGACTGCAGTCCCAATGTTCGATTCCTGTGAGTAGCGAGAGTCGTGGATACGCATTGTTGATGAGTCCCATACTTCGCTGAAACAGCAGTCCAGTGCTTCCAGGTTTCTATGAATGGTCTAACAATGATTGATTGATGATTACTTTTACTTAAACGAAAAACTTCCGATTTAAAGCAAATTTCACAAGCAACTAATCAATATCAATGCTATGTGAGTTGAATAACAATTATTGCATGAGTTTCTTAGTAACTAAGAGAACAAATATTCAATAAATCATTATTATTACTTTTCTATATCACAAGATAAAGCATATTATATATGAGCACTTCCCTATATATATATTTGGTATCTTCATTTTTATCGTGTACTTTTATTAAAGATGATTGAAATTTCAAAAATTGTTTTGTACTAAGTTCAATAGTTATTTTGGGGCACAGTTTTGGAGGTTTGCATTTTTACACATTTGAAATCATCAATTAATCATTTTTAGACCACCATTATAAACCTGGAAGCACTGAAAGACGGCCGTTTCGTCCTGGTATGGGACTCATCAGCAGTGCGCATCCACGAGTACTGCTCCTCGCATGATTCGAACCCGGTGCCTTTTTTCATTGTAGGCGAATGCCTTACCATCGGACCACTGGGCCGGCATCCAACGGTGTTAATGTCTAACTCTGATTGATCTAGGGATTTTGCACGACTTCACCCATTTGTCTTTGGTAGTTACTGCCTACACCCGACAGGGTTGAACTCCATTGGTCACGTCTTCTCAACTAGAACTCCGAGAATTTCCTCACGAAGTTAGTCACTGGTGAGCACTGTTACGATATTTTGGGGCACAGTTTTGGAGGTTTGCGTTTTTACACATTTGAAATCGTCAATCAATCATTGTTAGACCACCATTAGAAACCTGGAAGCACTGGACGGCCGTTTCGTCATGGTGTGGGACTCATCAGTTATTGCTATTTTTTTTGAAAAAAAATTCATTTGATTAATTTATAAATAAATTGTTTTTTTATAAGTAAAGTTTATACTAGGTTTTCTTGTTCATTTTTTTTCTCTTACAAACTGAAGTTGTTTTAAGAAATAATAAAAGCTCAGTTGTATTGTTCCATTGTTTCGTTTGTTCATTTTTCTCATTTCGAGACCTGTTGATTGTAGCTATTCACTAATGCTACACCGAGTTGATTTGAACATGTTCATGATTATTATTAGGTAAGGATGTTACTGTTAGACAATTGAGTAGATTTTTATTTCCAACTTTAGATAATTCTGGCAATAGTACTGACTGTTGCTAACGCACGTCACTATGTCAGTAAATATGCTTGAACTATTACGAGCTCACCTTAGTCGATAAACGAGAGCTAAGACAAACGATCCAGTGACACGATAAGCTACTCTAATCCGAATGTCCCAAACCCCCATTGAGTAGATGAAGAAATCTTGATATGAAGTAGAATGTGTATTCTACAAACATCCAGAAAATATGAGGCCCGAGTCCAGAAGAAGATAAGGATCCGGATCATAAAATTTTACAGACAATGCATATTTATACAGTTAGGTCGAATATGAAACAACATTTGAAGTATGTGACATTGATAGTCAGGACGACCAATTGGAATTCACCAATAGGAATTGACCAATAGAATTAGACTTACGAAATAATTCTCTTAGGATATTTGATGAATATCTTAACACTAACACGTAATATCATCAGTGAGTTATTGTTCCAATCAATGAAATTATCTATTTTTTTTTCTATAAACCACCCAATAAATTAGTTGAAGTGCGCTTACCAGTGATTAACCTTGAAAAATGAATCCGTAAATACAAAACAAATAGTTTTAACTGACTGTATGCTCAGTTACGTTGATAAGAGAATAAGTGTCATCAATGTCATAGAATATAATGATTGAAATATATTATAAGTTATATGATATATGTCTTAGTACTATAACACTCATCCTAGTCT